AATTGGGCGGCAAAATTATTTGGTAACTCTTGAAATTATCGCAAAAAAAAATCAAAAATCTCATATCCCATGTATTTTTCGACGAGGAATTCAATTATTACCGTGAATTTGACCTTGAACATAACCACTAAGCTACAGCGAACCAAAATTTATTTTTTTCATTTACCCTATTTACCCTCATTTTTTGCATTTCCCGGGGGCTTGCTTCGATTTTCGTCGGTTGATGCTGCAAGTAAAATTAATGGTGGGAATGAATTGAAAATTGCACAAGTAAGTTGTCAACTTATTTTATTATAACTTAATTCGGACTGATCGCCCATCGATTCACCTAACATCGAAGCGCGAGCTTATAATTCGAGCTCACCGTCACAAAAAGAAACCATATATTATTTTCAATAAATATTTTTATTATTCATCCAATTTCAATTGAATAATTTTTTCTTCAACTGAAAAAGAAGTTATTTTCATTTTCATTGATTTTTCTTCACAGGGTATATAGCAATGGTTCATTCTAGTGTCGGGAAGTGTTTTTGTAGAAGCGAAACGATTTTTCAATTTTTTTTCAAACCTTTTCACAATTTCATTCGGTACCCACAATGCTCTGCAAAAAAATTAACCGTTTTTATTTTTTGGATGTTTACTATCTAAAATATGTTGATTAATTATTGATATTACCTGATATTCTCAATATTCTCTAATGCGTATTCATACATTTCATGCGCATTCGTGATTTGATCTTGAGGAGAAGACCTTATGCAATGTTGCATTACCATTCTTTTAACGGTTCCCCCCAAAGCATCACATGGTGATTTGCCATGACTCGTGGCGAAAAAATTGTATGATTTTACTGCTATGCCGAAATCTTTCTCATGAAAAAAAATGTTGGCTAGATGATTTCTAAAAAAAAGGTATATGTCAATTGATAAAATTCTCAAGCATCACATTTTCCATTAAAATTTTTCTTACTTATTTTTATACTGCGTAGGGGCTCCGTCTGAAAAATATATGATATTTTTTATCCAAGAGAACTCTCTTTTTATCAAAGCCATCAATTCTGATGTAAATGCATTAACAGTGTAAGCAAAGTGATCTTTGGTATCACTAATTACACAAAAGTTGACATTTTGTAGTTCGGCAGTCTCTTCTCTTTTAAAGTACATACAAAAAGGATGTATTGTCGCCTGTTTATTGTTATAGTAAAAGGCCTGAACAGAGTTTTGAATTATAAATGAGTAATTTTCCGAAAAATCCATTAAAATTATGCAAGTATCACTTTCCAATTTTTTTTTGCAATAATTCAAAAAATTTTTCTGAGAATCTGCTACAAAGTGATGTTCGGTTAAATTACTAATGTCTTCACATACTTCTGAAATCAACACATCTGACTCTTCTTCAAATTTTTCAAGAGCAGCTGCACTACCTTGATGTATCCATTTACTGTACTTAATTTTTCCTTCTTTCAACTCGATATCAAGTTCTTCTACAATGGCTTTCAATTTCTCATTTACTCCAGATTCTCTAGGACAATTGGGACATCTCTTAATCATACAATCTTCATTATCAACATTGCAAACAGCTCCCACCAGCAAATCTCTATAGTTCAGTTTTCTTGACAAAGCGAGTAGTTTCAATTTTACGTTTTGATGCTGAGCACATACACATATGTTGTGGCTTCCTGGATCACCTGCATGTATGCATTGCTCTGGATGTAGAGAATAAAAATAAGAAAATGAAGGCAGTTCTTCATTTCCTTCATACTCATTTTTAAATTTTAAATACAAATCATGAATCGTATATAACAATAACTGTTTTTGAACTTTAGTTTTTTTTCCTTTCTCGTCATAAATAATGACGTAATCTCTTCTTCCTGGGTAAGTATACACATTTTCATCGTTCGTGTAATACTCTAAAATCTGCTTTCGCATATCATCAGAAATTCGCAGAAATTGTTTTCTCATATGAGTTTTTATGTTGTTAGGAAAATCTGTAAAAAATACAATATATATGAAACGGTTGAAATTGCGCAAGTGTTCGAAATTTTTCTTAACTTACCATCCATTTCTCTAAATTTTTTCAAATGATCGTACAATCGACGACTACAATTAAAGGCTTGTTTTTGAATCATTTCCCTCTTCCAATCAATCGGTAATAATGCTAAAATAGATAATTTCTTAAAAGTAGTATTAAGCGTTTCATATTCTTGTCTCAAATTTTTCATCAAATCATTCAAGACTAAAGAATCTTCTATTACATTTCTAGTTACAGACTCCGGAACTATTACTTCAGTATCAAAAGCCACTGAGACTTTTTGTGCTACATTCTGGCAGACATCATGAATTAATTTGTTAGCATCGGTAGTTCTTCTAGTTTTGAAAAATGAAGTATTATTTATATTAGGCATTCCAAGGATTTTCAAAGAAGCGTTCAGTTCTCTTTGCCCTTGACTAAGTGTAAAAAATTCTGAAGATACACTACTAAAATAAGAGTTTTGCGAACTACCCGGTTGACTAAATAAATTTTCAACGTAATTTACTTCTTTGTCAATATTTCTTTCTGAACGCCTTAATGCTACATTCTCAATTTCGCAGTCACTGTCAATGTCCATTTTCTCATTAGCAAAAGATGTTGGCTCTGTACTTTCAAATATTGTCATTTTATTTTTCAATAAAGTTTCACAATTCTTACAAATTTTATGACCAGGGATCAATTTCAATTTCAAGTGTTTCAAAGTACTGTCACAAAAATCTAGCTCCAATATTCTAAGATCTTTATGAATTTTGTTCTTATGTCTATTTAGAGGATCGCAGCATTTATTGGACAAATTTGAAAAATATGTTATGTATGTGTTGTAATGATGTTCACAAATCGTGCCATTTTCAATTGAGTAAAAATGTTCTATTCTGTATATTAATAAAGAAATTTGTTCTGGCGGTAAATCTTCAAGCTTATACAAAACCTTTTTGTCATTATATGTTTTCAAATGACAAAGCGAATTAGTTATCGATCCAATGCTACAATCCTTCAAGTTCTCATCCATATTTTCTATTGAAATGTCATAAAAAGTTATACGAAATTTATAGTAAAATCTGATTTTTTCATATGAAATGAACACAAACAATTAAGTAATGATTTAAAACATTGTTATCTTTACCTTGATTGCTTAAAAAAATAACAGCAATTTGTCCAAAAACAATTAAAAACACTTTACAAACGTTTTTTTTACGGTTATGAAACCTGCGTTAAAACGACTAAGAATTCACTTAATTGCAATGAATATTTTTTACTAAAAACGTAAGTTGTTAACGTAAATTAAACTTGTTAATCGAAAGATTTTTTTTGTCACAGAAGTATACTTTCTTTTGTGTTGTCTTAAAGGCACTGACTCGTAAAATCACAGGTAACCGTCATAGTTGAACTACTGTTGTATAAACAATCGTTTTGAGGTTACTTTAGTATAAACAGACTGTTGACAGTTAGCAACGCAGGCGCTCGCGTCGGGCGTCGTCGTCAGTGAGAGTCAATCAGAGGTTGTTTTACGCGCCTTTACTTTTCGGCGGTTCTCTTTTTTATAAGTAAAAAGATAATAAAAAAAAGGAAAAAGAAAAGAAGAAAAGAGAAAAGAGAGATAAGTAGAAAGTTATCTCAACATTTTTCTATCACTGTTATACATCAAGAAAATGAATAACGAAAGTTGCGTAAAAATAAAGGAAATTCTCCGATTTTCAGAGCTTCGTTCATTACACTATAGAGCCCCTATTTAATCTGAAATCAAGCACGAGTAAGGACTTTTTTTTTAATTGTAGCATCCCCAAAATAATTTTGAAAAAAATCAAATACATGAATAACCATGATATTTTCTGCCCTTTTCAAATGTGAAATAAAAAATTGGGGTCGCCGCGAGAAAAATCAATTTCGGTTCGCTGTAGCTTAGTGGTTATGTTCAAGGTCAAATTCACGGTAATAATTGAATTCCTCGTCGAAAAATACATGGGATATGAGATTTTTGATTTTTTTTTGCGATAATTTCAAGAGTTACCAAATAATTTTGCCGCCCAATTTAACATGTATTTTGCCTATATAAGGGCTAAAATGCCGGATTTCCGGGGCTCCGTTTTCGGGTTTAGAGGCAAATACCAAGATCCTTACCTACATGGCTTCAAAGTACATGTAATCAACTACTTTCACATAAAATTTCAAAGAGATTCATGTTACTAGAAAAAAGTTACAGCTTATCGAAATCTCGAAAAAACGCCTTTTTTCATAATGTTGACATGTTTGAACAGCTGTATCTCTGTCGTTTTTTGACCAATCTTAAATCTGCGCACGGCATTTTAAAGGTAATAAAAATACCTTTAAAATGAGACGTTGCAAAAGTAAATACGTCAATCCAGTCGCCTTCTGCATTAATTCAAAAAAAGCTAAAAAACGACAATTTTGCGATTTTTCATCCCCCTTCATTGCCCCCCCAAAACCGGGGGTTGGGTTATCGAGCTCTACATAATTTTTTTTTGAAAAGTACATGTCTTGACCTAAAAAATGCGACCCTCAGAGTTAAAAAATATGCACCGGTGCCCGAGTTACAAATATTTGAATGTTACGCAAAAATAGGTAAAAACCGCTATTTTTGGACCTTCGAGGGGCCCAAATTTGGGCCCTAAGGCCCCTAGAGGGCTAAAAATTTACCTGAAGTCTATTTTCACATACCCAAATAACATACTAAAATTTGGGGCAGATCCGAGAACCCCCCGCACAAAAGTTGTACATATATAAAAAAACTGCTCATATATATACATATGTATATATATATTATATATATATATCCAAAANTTTTTTTTTTTTTTTAGAAATCGATTTCGGAAATATTGGGGAAGCAAAAACGTTCCGTTGAAATTTCAACGAGTAATATATAGGATGATAAATTTCAATTTTATTTTTAATTTATAGTGATCTAATAATAATTAGAATTATTTCTAATTTATTGTGATCTTCTCATGACTTACTTATTGAATAGATGATTATCAACTTTAACCTTGCTATAAGCTCTAAAATCATCTGGTAATAGCATGACCGGTATACTGACATGTCCCAGTTCGTTTATCTGAAAATTCAAACGATAAAATATTGTGTTTAATACGAAAGAAGGTGAGTAAATATATTTTTTAGAATATGTTGGGTTGTATAAGGCCGATTCTCAGTTAAGGGCTAACAGGCGGCTTAATTATTTTTAATTTTTAAAAATAGTGTTAAACTGTACAAGTGAAAAAAAAATTTTTTCAAGAAGAAGGTTCACGGTCATTCTTCCGATTTCATTTTTCCGATATGACTTTTTCGATGTGGAAATTTTCCGATAAAAAAAATTCTGACTCCAATTTTCCGATGGGTACAATTTCCGAATAATAAATAAAAACATAGTAATATAGATATGGGTCAGATTCAGAATTTTTCAAATAAACCTGCGGGCGAGGTTCACGGATTTTCCTGAAATTTTGGTATGTTATAGTACATGATAAAAAAGTGCCAAAACCAAAATTTTGGACCCCCTCCCCCCTCCTACCCCCCTCCTCCCCTATAGACGTCCATTTTCTATCTATATTTTTTTTGAAGGCCTGAAGCTATTAAAAAATTTGAAAAAATTCATGAAGGTACTTTTTAACAATCCATACAATCTTGAATTTTTTCAGATTTTTCGAGTGCTTCAGGCCTTCAGAAAAAATCATTGAAAATTTAAATTATTTTATTTTTTTGAATCGTTTTTTGACGTCAGAATTCAGAAAAAAATACTCCGGTTTGGTACATCGAACCATTTCACCGAAAATAAAATAATTTAAATTTTCAATGATTTTTTCTGAAGGCCTGAAGCACTCGAAAAATCTGAAAAAATTCAAGATTGTTTGGATTGTTAAAAAGTACCTTCATGAATCTTTTCAGATTTTTTAATAGCTTCAGGCCTTCAAAAAATATATAGATAGAAAATGGACGTCTATAGGGGAGGAGGGGGGTAGGAGGGGGGAGGGGGTCCAAAATTTTGGTTTTGGCACTTTTTTATCATGTACTATAACATACCAAAATTTCAGGAAAATCCGTGAACCTCGCCCGCAGGTTTATTTGAAAAATTCTGAATCTGACCCATATATAAGTTAAGATAGATATAAAATATAGAAATATAAGTATCAATGACACGTTTATTTATTAAATTAAAGGGTTAAAGTATTGGCATGGGGAAAGGCAGGCGAGAACTTAAGAAAACTCTGTACGCAGTAATTGGGCCAGAGGTTGCTCTGGGTGTTCAGAAGCTTTTCTTTTCAAGCTTGTCTTTACTTTTTCAGCTTCGCAATCGTTGAAATTTGGGAGATGTGTGTTGTACAATGTGTTGTGGAGGGAACGAATTTGAGCGAGTCTGCGAGTTTTTACAGAGTTTCGCCGACATCGTAAGCGTTCAGTAAGTCAGAGCGGAAACACGCTTGACCGTCACCAGACTGATGTATGACGAGTGACCCTGAGGAGGGTCGATGTTATTTGTTGCCTCTTAGTTTAGAAGTTTTGCAAAGTGTACGTTTAGTCCTGAAAAGGACTAGTTTTGATGCAGACTGTTAATTTGTGCGTAAGGACTGGCTGTGATCAGCTGTGACCAGCTATGACCGATGTTGACCGTCAGGGAGGTGTTGGTCGGATGGACGATGACTTCGTTGTCGGCTCGGGCTGCTTGGCTATTACATGACTCGTGAGAGTTGAGTGGCACAAATGCCGATCACTTTTCTGTCCAACTTGTAAAGTTGAACAGTCAAAAGTTAATAGACAAAGGTCCAATCGCTTTTCTATTCTCACTTGTAACAAGTCGAACAGTCAAAAGCTGATTGAATTGAGTCGAGAGGCACTTTTACTAGTACTCTGAACTTGACCCTTTCTCTTGCAGGCATGACTTTTCAATGGCGACGCGCCACCTGGCGGCCGAGTCGGAAGTTTGAGAAGTCAAAAGGTGGGGAAAGATGTTGAAATGATGAGGCGAGTATTTTGTAATTTAACCAAGTTCACTATTGAGAAGTGGCCCTAGGTCAAAACTCTCCAGTGCTCGTCGACGCGAACGCGAAGACGAGAGTCGATGTGTTCTGGCTGGCTGCCGAGAGACGACTGTCTTAGTCGGCCAAAGTGGGTCGCTTATATACACAGCGAACCACACACTGATTGGCTGATGCCGCGAGGTGGGGACAAGTGCAGCAGTGCACGTCGTTTGAGTGGGGACGGACGTAGGGGTCTCGGCGTTAGTGGGGATAACATGTGTATGCCTCTTTTCTTTCAAGAGAACAAGCTGTTCTCCGGGTCCTGGGTTATTAGTTGTCGTTCTTGAAGTACACGTCTTATCACTGCGCAATTTTATGCACTCTCAGTGAACGTTAAGAATTAGTTTATTAACAATTGAAAGCTCCATTGCGAGGCTGAATAGCTGAACTTCGATGAGAGACTGACCAAGTGTCTCTTTGTCGTCTTTCTCAGCAACTCGCAATAGTCAAACCATAATATTATTGTTTCGGCGATATTTGGATTATTATGTTTGAAAATTTTATACCATCGGAAAATAGGTGGTCGGAGAAACGGAATCGAAATAATGTATAATAGGAAATTTCACATAATCGGAAAAATGGCCGTCGGATAACGGGATCGGAGGAACGGGCGGATACCGTCCATGGGATGTAAACTGAAAAGCCCAATATCCATAATATCGAAATTCGACATTTTTCATAACAAAATGGCGCTTCGTAGAAAAAAGACCGTATATGAGCTCAAAAAATTTTTTTACATGACAAGGATGCATCTAGGAAAAAAAAGTTATATAAAAAAAGTCCTTAGAATTGTTCTAAGAACAACCCTGAATTTTTTCAGAATTTTTCGAGAAAACTTTTGAATTTTCGGAAAATGATGAAATCTAAAAAATCCAAAATTATTGGAAAAATTCTGAAAAAATCCAGGAGTGTTCCTTGAACAATTTCAAGAACTTTTTCTTAACAACTTTTTTTCCTAGATGTATCCTTGTCATGGAAAAATTAATAAAAATTAATTAATAAAAGAAAAAGTTAGGAGCTAAATTAATTTTTTCCATGACAAGGATACATCTAGGGAAAAAAGTTGTTAAGAAAAAGTTCTTGAAATTGTTCAAGGAACACTCCTGGATTTTTTCAGAATTTTTCCAATAATTTTGGATTTTTTGGATTTCATCATTTTCCGAAAATTCAAAAGTTTTCTCGAAAAATTCTGAAAAAATTCAGGGTTGTTCTTAGAACAATTCTAAGGACTTTTTTATATAAATTTTTTTTCCTAGATGCATCCTTGTCATGTAAAAAAATTTGTTGAGCTCATATACGGTCTTTTTTCTACGAAGCGCCATTTTGTTATGAAAAATGTCAAATTTCGATATTATGGATATTGGGCTTTTCAGTTTACATTCCATGGACACCTTTGATGTGCTCGGGACATATGTATCAAGCTTATTTCTGTTTTAAAATTCGAGTTGAAGACGCTTTTTTATTTTTTAATTCGTGTTTTTTTTTTGTTTAATCGTTTTTAGCTTTTGAATAATAATTTTAAGATTAATTTTGAAGCCATATTCGAAAAGGGCATTAAATTTCCCGTTAGAGACATGAACTCGTAATTTTTAGCAAATTTCTGAATACTAAAGATATTTGCCTAAAGTTCAGTCAAAAAAATGTCCGTCCGGGCGCTAATGGGTTAAGCCGAATGCCTAAATAAATTTTTTTTCTACAAATATGAAAAACTTGTTATTTTCTATGCCTTAAATGTCCAAAAAAATGTTTAGAAAATTTGGGGCTTTTTATGACTTTTTTTCAGAGGTCCAAAATTGGCCACTTTAGCATTTTTTCGAAATTAATTCAATATCGTAATTATTTAAATGATTCCAAGCTTAGTGTAAAGTGACTTAAACAAAAAGTCTAATAGAGCTTTTTTGTTGGAAATTGTCCAAATTTTCGGTGTTCTGTAAATCGAAAACATTTCGGACCACGGAAGTATGAAAAGTATCGAAAAAAGCAAGTCTGATAATGACGATTCTTCTGACCAAAAAGGTTCACTTGAGAAATGGATCACGAAGAGGGAAAGGATGAAGACGAACGAAATAAACCGCAGTTGAAAGATTACGATAGTTTGGAATTCATATCAGTAGGAGAAATGAATTGCAACGATTCATATCTGAAATAAAAAATGGGGGTTCCATTTGAAAAATCGATTTTTGGGTCGTTGTAGCTTTTAGATTATGTTCAAGGTCAAACCTAAAGTCCCCATTGGATTTCTCGTCAAAAAATTTGTCGGATACGGGTTTTTTATTTCTGCTGATTATGCGAAATTTCTGGAGGTTTCCACACTTTTGTGACATCCTGTATATTAAAGATTTAGAAAAAGAGAAAAAACCATTCAATTATTATTTAATAACAGTTGTTACGATGCAAAAATGCAGCTGAGTCCTATAGTGGCTCGCGACTTGCAACGGTGGTTAAAAAAATTAAATAGTGGTCAAGTCCTCCAATTATATAGCCGTGGTTATGATGTTACGATCTTTACATATGCCTCGTTGTCTAGATGGGGCGCCACAGATGGAAAGAGACAACTTTTTGGTCATTGTACAGGGAAAGAGAGTAAATTTTATATAAACTACTTACAAGGAAACCATCTTACCTTTGGGTCACAGATCTTTATCAACATTTTTTTTTGTGTCTCCAGGAACCTAATAATAAAGCTCCTTATGCTTAGTTTTATTAAATGGGCATTAGGGCCCATTTTAAAAGGGGTTTTATATTATATTTAAAAATCTTTGAGATTTTCTATATCGAGATAGGAGCACTTAAACAAAAAAATGCACCGATCAAAAATTTTGAAAATTTTAAGCATAGGGAGCTTTACTATTAGGTTCCTGGAGACCACAAAAAAATTTTGGTAAAGATCCGTGACCCAAAGGTGAGAGGGTCTCCTTATTAGAACTTTTGGCTATTACTTATATTACGGCAATAAGATGGGGGATTGTCAGGGTAGATTATTCAAGTCGCTTGACAAGGGATATATCGCAATAGTCAGAAGAGAGAAATCACTTTCTTTTCACTTTTTATATATTTTCTGATAAAATCGTTGTAGCTGATAGGCTTTCACGCATACTTAAGATCGAGACCGAATGGGAATTTAATCCAAAATGTTTTATAAAGCTTGTGTCCGTTTTTGGCGAACCGGAGGTAGATTTATTCGCGTTTGAGTACATTAAAAAATATAATTTTTTCGTCTCATGGAACCCTTCTGAGGGCGCGTTAATCATAGACACATTCACAATCAATTGGAAAAATCTGCGCTTTTACGCTTTTTCACCGTTTAATTTCATAATAAAAATGCTTAGAAAAATTAAATGAGATCAAGCTTTGAGAATCGCCGTCGTGCCGTTCTGGAAAAACCCACTGTGGTTTACGCTGTTTAAAATTATGATAATAAGAAAAATGATCGTCTTTGAGCCTAGTGATGACTTACTGACATGTCCTTTTACAGTCGATAGGTCCACCCAAGAGCTCGCTTCAGAAAAGGTATAATACCGTTCGAAGCATCAGAAATAATGCTCGTATCCCTCTCAAATTCAACGGTGAAACAATATAGTTCAGCGATAAAGCAATGGATCGAGTTCTGCGACGAAAATCAAGTAGAACATTTTGATACAAGTTTATCCAACATATTGAAGTGCTTATCAAACAGATTTAAAAAAAGGGTTGGTTATCCAGCAAGAAACTCGATGAGGAGTACCTTATCTCTCATTTCGTCAAGTAAAATTGGAAAACATGCTGATGTTTCGCGATTTATGAAAGGATTTATGAAAGGAGTTTTCAAATTACGCCCCTCGAGGTCAAAATACGATTTTACTTGGGACTTTGCTGTCGTGTTAGATTTTTCAAGTCACTAGACAGTAATGATATTAAGCTTTTAACATATAAGACAATAATTTTGTTATTAACACTTCTGCAGTCGGCAGAAGCCAGCCTCTCTTGCAGGCTCCGTTCTTCCCCGAAAGACCTGGCGTTTGTGTTGTTCCGACACTTTTAAAATACATCGACGCAACGAGAAATTTTATGAATGATTATATAGAAATTGTAAAGAAAGTTCTCATTTTTCCAAAACTTTGCCTCAAAATAGAGGTAGCCAGCCATTTTTTCAATATTTTTTTAACAAAATACGCGAAAACAAGACTTCTTCGGCTCGTTTTAGGGCTAGCAGAGGACAAGCCAGCTAACTTAACCCATGTTACTGCGCGAACACTCAATTGACTAACGTGTTACCCGAGGGAACCTTCTTAATGCGTATGTACTACTATATCGACGTGCCAGTGCTGAAAGATGACGCTTCACAGAGCAGAGCAGAAAGATGCCACTTCGCGTTCCGGGCTGAAAGATGCCACTTCGGTGCTCGGTATTTCTGTGTTTGAAACTTCAACTTCAACTATTATCTTTATTCCAACGTCAGATTCTGGAAAAGCATTCAAGTTTACTTCTAAAACATAAAACATTAACATGGTGTCACTTCAAACGTAGAAAAAACCATCCTTCAGAATCGAGCGATGAAGTGGCATCTTTCTGCTCTGCTCTGCTCTGCAAAGGGGCATCTTTCAGCACTGGCACGTCGATATAATATACTTCTAGATGCGTATGTTCATTTATTATGCTTTCAGGCCTCGAAAAAAAAACTTTAACCGAGCTCCAAGTTACAAAATCATTGATGTTTTAGTGGAGTGGTAAAAAAAAAACACTTACAATTTTTTCGTTTGAATCATTTTTCAGAAGTATCACCAACTTTTTTAGTCAAGTGTTTGAAATCATTTAAAATATACTTTTTTCCAATCAAATTTATTTTTAGAAAAATTTTTAAATGTCATGCACAATAGGGTGGTCCACTTTTTCAAAAATTTTTTATATCTCGGGGGATCTATCGGAATCAGAAAGTTTGAGGTTTAAAATGAATTTTCCTGTAAACTAGAACTCAAAAAAATGATTTTAAATGGGGTCGATGGATTTTTGAAGTTTAAAAACGTGTTCCAAAAAAGAAGCAAAATCGGGCTATCATTCGATTTATTTCAAACTCTGTTTAGAGTGTAAAAATAATCTTGACAATACATTTTCTTATGTGTTTTTGTCTGCAGAATCGAATGCAGTAGTCAGTTTTGACCTAGGAGCACAATTTCATTCAAAAAAATACACTTTTTCGATCGTTCTTTTTCGCAAATTCCGCAAAGTTCATTTTCGAGCCAGTGGCAAATGAACAGAAAAAATCTAGAAAATTTTTTGAAACCACCAAAATTTAGGGTTTTTTTTATGAAGAATCCAATGGTATAAATTAGTATACACTTTGAAATTATTTTAATGCAGAAAAATACAACTTTATCCCAAAAAACGACGTTACGAAAAATTGAAAAATCGAAAAGTGTATTAGTTTCTTCCAGGAAATGGCTAAGTAGAATCAACTATGGAAAAAATTGCATGAAACTATTTGATAGGTTCTTTTCTCACCTTTCCAACGCCGGTTTCAGAAGTTAAAAATTCGCAAGATTCGCTGAGATACAGCTATTTTAGTACGATGCATTTTTTAAGCTTAAAATTCAATAATTCTGAGCTAGCTATATTCAAAACCAGCGAAGCAAAATTTAAGCTAAAAAATGCATCGTACAAAAAGAGCTGTACACTTTTCGATTTTTCAATTTTTCGTAACGTCGTTTTTTGGGATAAAGTTGTATTTTTCTGCATTAAAATAATTTCAAAGTGTATACTAATTTATATCATTGGATTCGTCATAAAAAATCCTACATTTTGGTGGTGTCAAAAAATTTTCTAGATTTTTTCTGTTCATTTGACACTCGCTCGAAAATGAACTTTGCGGAATTTGCGAAAAAGAACGATCGAAAAAGTGTATTTTTTTGAATGAAATTGTGCTCCTAGGTTAAAACTGACTACGACATTCGATTCTGCAGACAAAAACACATAAGAAAATGTATTGTCAAGATTATTTTTACACTCTAAGCAGAGTTTGAAATAAATCGAATGATAGCCCGATTTTGCTTCTTTTTTGGAGCACGTTTTTAAACTTCAAAAATCCATCGACACCATCTAAAATCATTTTTTTGAGTTCTAGTTTACGGGAAAATTCATTTTAAACCTCAAACTTTCTGATTCCGATGGATCCCCCGAGATACAAAAAATTTTCGAAAAAAAAGGATTACCCTAATGCACAAGCTCTTTAAATGAGCAAAGAAAGATTTTTTCCCAAGAATCGAAAATGTGATACATTAATGTAATTGTAACTATTGACAAAATGTTACCTCAAAAATTCATTAAAAAGTATTTGTCAACCTTGGAGATATCTTAAGTTCAATGTAATAGTGTAATAACTTATCTAATTTTTATTAATTTCGCACTACAAATATTTTTTCATTAAAATAGTATCATAAATATATCATAAATATAATTTAATCATAACAAAGATCACATTTCCATCCTTAACAAATCAATCATTTCCAATAAAACTAACAAGCTTAATTACAGTAACATCATTGAACCTCCTTTAAGAGATTGAATTAAGTTTGTTATATCGAATTGCCTAAAACTTCTTTCAAAACTTTTAAAAGAAATTGGATAAGTTATAATAACTTTTATAATGAAGTTAAAATCTTTATTACCAGATGTATCAAATTCTCAACATTAAGCTTTTCATAACATAATCAATAAGTCCAGATAAAAACACATTAAGGTGTTTTGGCCAATCGGAATAGGACAAAAATTATGATTATCGGGGAGTCTTATAATATTTTGTTGAGTAAAATAAAAATATTATCAAACAAGCCATTTTATCATGCCAAAACTAACAAAATTATTATAGTTTTCAAGCTGTAGACTGAAGCCTAAAAATTTAGAAAATATCATTTAACTTAATATAGTTATAGCTACGGTTGTACTTGTTTTTATCAGATGATTATGGTGTTTGATTAATAATTTTCTTTAAAAAAAGATAAATATCGATTTTTAATCTTTGAAAATGCCTTGAATCATTACTATATGTTTTTTTTGCAGTCTTTTAGTTTTTACTTTTTCACAATAACTAAATAACATCAGAAGGTCCATGCTTTCTAAAGGATAATAAAATACAAGGAACCACATAAAATTTTGAGAAAATATTTACTGGAATTTTTTGAAAATACTTCCTAAAACAACATAAGTATGAGGATATGGTCATCACCAGGAAATGATTGATTAATAATAATAACGTTGAAAGGTCAGCTTATAAGTTGAACAAAAATTCAATTGAGTAATGTTGAAAATTAAATTTGTAGAAATTCCTATAAAACTATTATTCTTGTAAGTAGAGACAACTCACCGTATGATTCACACCCCACATAAATACACTCAATAATGGTTCACTAGCTCTAAACACTTTCACTTTTTGATGTTTCACACGTATATGTTTTTTTTTTAATTTACTTAAACTACTTGACATTTGAGCAACATTAGCCATGATGGTTTTGAATTAAAAACACATTTTAAAGTAAATGAACATAAATAAACATCCAGAACAGTTTTTTAATAGATCTACTTAATTATTAAATAGATGTATTAGGTGTTCAAAATGTATCGGCACACTACTTCTCTATCAACTGTTACTTGTCCATGTCACAAGAAAATAATTCACATAACGAAAAAGTGCTGATAATTGGACTGAACTGATAAAGTGAAGTTGGCACTGTCATAGATTACAATCTTAGGATCAACGTGTTATAACAATTGCAATTAAATTCGATCAGTTATTCAATATGATATTGAAATATAGTTATAAGTGTTCTCATACGATATTAAAAAATAATGCGAAGTTAACTGGGTTCCTATAAGAATAGTTTTCAAGTTAAAATTGTAGATTAATGATCACAGTCGACAAAATATTAAATAAATCCATCGGATTTACAATTTTTATGTGGAAAAAAATCATCATTTCTTATAACGCAATCGTAACAATTGAAAGTTCGTACTCATACTATCGTATTATCTTCCCTGACACCGACTTAGTAATCACTACCCTTTGATTTGTTAGGGTGCTTCTACATTGTAGGACCCGTAAACTTTGTAAATATAAATAAGACAAATGTTTCGTTCATTATATCATAAGTAATATATTTACTTCTTTTTTAATCAAAGTTTCCAATTTTCTATCAAAACTCAATCAAGATAGTTATTCTTAAAATGATGTATGCACTCTTTTAATCCCATGTAAAATTTATCAAAAAAAGTCAATGAATAAATATGATAGTTATAAGCAATAAAAATGATAAAAAATCATTTATATTCAAATTAAATTGACCAAACCGTTAAAATTAAATAAATTTTACGAATCAAATCAAAGTAATTAAATCTCCTGGTCATCAACAAATTTGATTTGAAATCAATAGGTTATTAATTTTAGAACAAGATGTGAAACTTTTCAATGTTATTTTGTTACAAAAAATTGAAGTAAAATTGAGATTTAAAAAAAGTAATGTTATTTCAGGGGTTCAGAGTCTTCCGTAGCCGGTGAATTGATGTAAAATTTTTTTCATGAATTATGGTCTGCTGAAAGATACTGAAAGCCGGTTTTACGCTAAATCGTTAGGAATTTTTCTTATGAACAAAAAACTATTCAAACAAATAAATTTTTTTTTGTTTAATGAAAAATACATCCATGATGCTTTAGTGACGCTTGGTCGATTTTTTATTTAGGTTAGCACGCATTTTAGAAACTGCTTTATTTTCTACTGGAAAATATAGTTCTGGGGGAGATTCAAACCAGGGTCCTCGAGAATTGAAATTTTTATATAATCGCTGAGCTCGAAATCATAAATCGCAGTGAAAAAGAAATATTTCAAAAAAAATATTATTCTAAAGTTGCATTCAAATAAATTTTACAATTTAAAAAGTAGTATCTTCATTTAATTTTACTGGCTTATTTCCTACGGAATTGAATAATATATTGATATTATAATCGACATAGAAATCCACATGGAATCTATTTCAACCCACCCGATTTCCGGGTGGTTTTGCATAGTAATTTAGTTAAATATGTTCAAGATCGATCTTGTATGGAATTTCAGTTACATTGGGCTTGAGGATGCTTTGTTAATTGTAATTGTTAGAATTTGGAGTAGTTTATCGCGATAAATATTATTGCGGTGATCAGCGTTGTCTTAAACTCGATGACGACAACTAGCGCTGCACGTGGCAGCGCACTGCCATTCGTCCACGTTACTGACATGCGTAAGTGCAGCCAAATTCCAAATTGTGCACTACCGCGTGCAGCGCTAGTGGATGTCATTGAGTTTCTGACAAGCCGCATATTGTTATGTGGTGGGATGATCCGTTTGAAGTGAACGCATATCTATGGACTGATCAAAGCGGAAAGATCTTGCTGCTGATTGTTAAAAGCAAATAATTTTTCGAAATTCCGGATCTGAAGCAATAAGTTTGATTCAAATTTCAGCCATCGAAAAAGTTACAGTTTTTTTAACAAATGATGACTCAGAAAAATAAAAATTTTATTTTAGTTTCGTATTTTGCATGTTTATAGATTGAAAAGTAAATTTGATAATTATAGGTAGAGCAGAGTGGCAAATTTAATTAAATTTGAATGATTGCTGGCTCAAGACTATGGCTTCTGAAAAAAACAAAATTTTAAGAATAATAATAAATAAATAATACAAGTTAATCTTAAAATTTTTTGAAGTCAAAAATGTTTAAACATTTCGCACATTTTCCTAAGAAATGCTCATTTAGTAGAAATACAAAGAAAAGTTTTAAATTTAGTAACATTATTTTATAAATGAAAATATTTATTTTCAAACCCGTGTTGTTTATTATTATTAACTGCTGTTTATTAAATTAACAATTATTATGGCCCTGAAGCTTTTTATAATGAACTTCAGATTAAAATATTATCATTTTTAACAAAAAATCATTATTTTAATAAATAAATATGCAAAAATATAATGAAATAAACTGCAACAAAAAATGTAATTGTAGAAAATTTAACTATAAACATGACATTTTTAGATGACCAAAAAAATTTGATATCGAGAAATAAATTGGCATGATGCGTCACAATAATTCATAATGTGCTCATTCGACCGAAAATTCTATAAAAACACGTAACTATGACATAATAATTATTAATATTTATATAATTATTCTCCACAGAACATAAAATAATTTATTCTATCGGAGTTGGTAGTTTAATTATTTAATATATATGCATGATCAAGTCCTCGCGTCGCCCCACTGATTCCCCAGGTAAGACTTCCGAAACTTTTTAATTTAAATCTCAAATATTTGTTTTGGTGATATTTTTCTAATAGTTGCTGATTTAAATAAGGGTATCAATATTTCTGTTTTAATGAAATATTAATTTCTCGCTGCCTAAAATATTGATTGGAAATAGTTCAAGTTAAACATTTATAATTATATACTATATACTAATTTAATTCGATCTTAGTTTTAACATGAATTTAGTTTATTTTCTACAGAAAAAATAATTCTTCTTTTCGTTTTTATAAAATTTTCATTTTAGCAGCGTTAATTATAGCGCCTGCGCAGTTCTACGTACGACTTTATTTTATGGATAAAGCTGAACTCAGTTGTTATATGCTTGTGAATCTGTATAGAACACGTATGACACTTATCTAATAGATGATTCTGCCAGAACCACATAATAATGAAATAAAAACTTTTCGATCGAGTTTACGAAGTGTGATGTTATTCTTATTTATTCATGTGCATTATGAAAAATAATGAAATCAATACATTTAATCTTTCATTAAAGACAAAGTAAAATATATTTACAATATATATGGTATATATACATATTGCAGCATAATTGCTGTAAATCAATCTGCGCTCTCTTGCGGATTACTTCTACGGCAATTTCGATGGATCGTTACAAGTAAAAAGTCTAGTTATTTAACATAAAATGTATGTGACATTATTTTGCACTTTTAATTATTGTAAAATATTACAACTTGATTGACAGCCTACCAATGTTTTAGTTACTTTTACATTTTTTGTACGTTTTCGATCTTTGAAATACATTTAAATTCGTTATAATTTTTTATTCAAGAAATTGTGTTTGTTATACTTACTTGCAAACCTCTAGTAACTATAATTTACTATCAAATGCATGCAATGGTGATAAGCCCCAATGTTTAATTTTTAATTCAAATTAAAGTGGTGAGATTTAATTTTTCTTTTATTTGGTATTTCATATAAAAAAAAAACCGAGTTCAAGAGATGTGATCATTTTTATTTATTATGACATTAGCAGATATAATTAAATATAGCTTGAATTCCTATATGTCAAATTACCCAAAAACCCAAGTTAGAAAAATCTTTCATGAATTGAATACATATAACAAGTACGATTGCTCTCTTAGAATATCTGATAAGCTTAAAAATCTTCAGTACAATATTATTGATACACTATTTCCAATAGTTCTTATGCAGAAGCATTGATTATCATAAATTTGTAGTCAAAGGCCAAGTTTTCAAGGCCAAAATTACTGTCATTACTGCAATTAAATTTCAAATGTAAATTGTATTATTTGAAGTTCTTTAATAAGGTACAATGACAAAAAACCAATACAATTATCTTTTTGCAGCAAAACAATGTGTACATTATAAGTTATCCCAAATGTTCAAAGCGTTTATAGAAAACACTAGCGTTAGACATGTACAATTGTTTTTTTAATGTTATTTATCTCATGTAGGTAAAAAAAGAGTAGAATTTTAAGATTCAATCAGTTATGAACAACTATTATATGTTATAATTTTTATAACCATACTCACAACTACATAGATTAAAGCTAACAATTTTAGATGATTAAATTAGGTATACGCTACTTATTTATGATGCTATGTTTTGAAAAGACTTATTTGTTTCATTTTTAACCCTTTTTATCTGTTTCTTATACCATAAAAATATTGCTTCTTTATGCTTTTTTACCTTTATTATTTAATTTAAAGTATACTTTAGGTGATATGAATCTTTGAATATGTATGTTGCTATATATTAAATTATACTTCTATAATATCTGTATATCTGATTCATTATCACTAAAATAATTTCAAACATTTCAAAAAATTGGCTCAGAGATGATTGTACAATATCTTTAAGCTCTCTGTCATATATATCAGCGATATTTTATCTGCAAAACTCCCATGAATATTATCAAATATAATTTCATTAGTAGCATGATAGAAGACAATTTTAATTTTTCCAATTCAATTTTTTCTTGGAATCGACAAATTGAAATATTTCGAAGAGATTGAATAATTGGCTAAATATTAAATTTATAAACTCTTAATCATAGCAAAAATTATTTCTCTGTGTTAAAAAATTTGAAATTTGCCAAAAGGGTATATGCTGTAATTCGAAATGTGATCTGTATAAATTAAGTTTATTTAGTTGCATTACTTTGCATTAGATAATAGTGTAAAAGATTTTATGACAATTTACAAATGTTATAAGATTTATTCAATGCTTTTTTCTATGATTGAAAAATTCATCAATTTTTGGTTGAAATTTCAGTTGGTTTTTTGAATTAAAAAATGATAGTTGTATTTATGTAACTTCAAGTAAGCAATGAAACCACTATGCTATAATTTTCTAAACTCTCAATATGTCTAAAATCCAGCTTTTAATTCTTTATATAAAAATGTATAAAAGTTTTTACACAAATTCAATTTCCGCTGGGAAAACAAAGATACACTAAAATGGTCAATCTATTAAATGTTTTTAAAACATGAAGAAATTAAACAAAAATGTTTTTCTAAAACATTAATAACTCCTTTATCAAAATGAAACCTGTGAAATACCTTGTAAAAAACTGAAATAAAATTGAAATGCAATTTTTTCAAATCCTTTAGTCATACGCATATTTTCTCATGAATGAAGAACGATTTTATACAATTTTTGATTCCGTGAAAATTTAAAACAATAATTTTTTTTCCAAAAGTCAGATTGAACCAGTGATTATTTGTATTCAAGTTCATCATGTTACCGATTGAGCTATATGTCAAGCATACATTTTAGGCTACGTAAAAATTGGTATTGAAATAGACAGGGTGTAACAGAAGGAACAATATTGTTACCCCTATACTAATATAAGTACTAGACTTTTATATGTGCGCGCTACGCGCGCATGGAACTCTTATGAGTATGTAATTTAATATATGAAAGATATTATTAACTACAGACAGAGGGCGTATATAGATGACACTAAAATATTTCTTGTACTCACATGAAGTTGGCTCTAAGAGGGTTCAATTCGATCTATAATCGCAATGGCTCTTATATTAATTAGAAAGGAGGCAATTCTGAACAAAAAATGTTCATGATCATTTTTGATTCAATTTAATGTTTGAAAAATTCATGAAGCTTACAGAACTACAGAATACCGAATGACGAAGCGCGCGAAGCACGCTGAATGTCTTAGTATAAAACGATATCTAATTTAAATCGAAAATAAACTTTTCATTTTTGGGCTGCGTTGGATATGAGCGTGTACAGTTTTAAATGGTTTTCGCAAAGTGCAATATTTAGATAAGCTTTGATTTTTATTTCTTCAATTATGCGGGGCGTAAAAGTAGAGTCATGCAGAATTAAACTCCGAAGTAGCATGTTGCTACAATAAGCTAGAAGTGACACTCGATTGCGCCACTCTATGGAGCAGCATCATATTTCTAAGAAGTGTTGATTTGTGATAATAAAAACTATGGTTCGCGTTTGAAAACATCTATTGGATCTAAATGTTGATTTTTTCTAATATTATTTTAGAATTTTCAAATTAATCCACTATAAAGAAAGATATGAAATTTATAACGAGGAGCATGACGTCATGTTCATTTAAAAGATTGTATAACTCCGTTAATAATTGACTTATTAATAAAAAATACAATAAGTGGCTTCTAATTTTCTTAAAACTTGCTCAATAACTAGTTAACAAAAACTTTTAAGCTAATTTGGTGCAAAGAATATGGTTTATTTCTAAAATCTTCAAGCCTCGTTTATCAGCTCCACATCATGCTTGAATTAATAATTACAAGATCCCCTCTATTCAAGGGGACATAACATCTCCAAATTAGAAAATGTAGTTATTTATGCTACAAGTGCCCAAAATGCGTTTTTGCGCACAGTGTATGCACGTGGGCTGGCGTCAGTCAATACGAGTGTAAACAAACACGACATGAGTGCCGGCTACGCAGGCGCGAGTAGATTGTTTTGCGCACACTGCGGAAAAAGATGGGCACGTGTGGCATACTAGTATGATACGTGTGACTTAAGCAGGCCATTATTGCACGGCACGGTTAGCACCCGAGCGAAGCGAGGGTGCTAGTTCCGTGGTAAGAATGGGCTACTTGAGTCATAAGTATCACATGTTTTTTTATAGCACTGTGCTAAATTCACGTTAGGCCCCTTTTGGCGAGATATAAAGTGCTCATAATAGCGTCGCGGTCTGAGGTTAGCGCACGAGCGTAGCGAGTGTGATATGCGTGCCGCGGTGCAATAATGAGCAGCTTAAGTCACGGCAAAGCGTGCCTTAAACGTGAACTTTAGCCACGCAGTGCTATAATAGTATATTATGATACGTGTGACTTAAGCAGGCCATTATGGCACGGCACGGTTAGCACCCGAGTGAAGCGAGGATGATAGTGCCGTGGTAAGAATGTGCTACTTTAGTGATAAGTATCGTATGCTCTTTTATATCACTGTGCTAAATTTGCGTTTAGCGAGATATAAGGTGCTCATAATCGCGTAGCGAGTGTGATATGCGCGCTGCGGTGCAATAACACAGGCAAACAAAAAAAAAATGCTCAGTCCCAGAGACCGGACCCAGTAGACTTTATGTTTTTGGGGTCCCTGAATCCGAATCCGTCGTCCGTTGTTCGCCATCAGATCGAATTAAGGTCATTTGAAGGTCATTCAAAGGTCAAATCATGTAAAATAGGTTTTAAAATCTGAAACTATTCCTACATAGGTTTTTGAGGATGCTGAATTCAAATCTGAAGTCAGATGACCTCTACGACCTTACCTTCAAGGTCATTTGAAGGTCAAACTTAGAAAATGCGATATAAAAATCCGAAAAATATATTTTTTTATGTTTTGAGAGTCGCTGAATTCAAATTCAAGGTCATTTTGACTCAATGTTGACATCTAAAGGTCATTTAGAGGTCATTTGAAGGTCAAATCATAAAAAACAGGTTAAAAAATTGGAAAAAAACTCCTATATGGGTTTTTGAGGATGCTGAA